CTCGAAGTTAAACTTAAACGGTTGCAGTTTCCAGAGGGTTTTCCGCCCTCAGGGAAACCCCTGCTCTCTTGAAACCGCTTGAACCCTAACACATCGAACCAGGAAAGACGAACCGGCTCGGGTTGGAAGCTTTAGGCCTTCAGGGTTTGGGTTCGAGCTGTAGCAGTCAGGTTTCTAGGTTGTGTGTTTAAGAGAACTTTTTGTCGTGACCACGGTGCTTTTGCAGGCTTCCGTGGCCATGTCTGTTTAAGTGGAACACCTTGTGCTGGATTGTATTGGCTCTGGCTTCAGCATCCTAGCTGTTGGTTTCTGATGCCTTCTTTTGCACTGCAGCGAAAACCCTCAACTCTGAGTAGGAACTCAGAAGTAGGATCCTAGAGTAGGAAGGAAGAGAGAGAGCGAGCGAGACTCGCCTTTTCAGACGCTCTACCTTCGCCGAGTCTGCAGCTCTCCAGAGCATTGATTTGCGGCTAGCAATTCAACACCTCCAGGTCTCCAAGTTCAGACACTTTCCACTACAGCTCCCTCTAGTCTCGACACTTGAGGATGCAATGTGATTATTGAGAACACAGAGGCACAAAGAACGAATATGATGCAACCCGTTTTGGAAAGCAGAATCCACCTGCGCTTATCTGACGCCCATTCCGAATGTTGAACAGTGAGCCGACGTGGAAGCGGCAGAAAAACGAGGCCGCCACAAAAGACACGCGCTGGAAACACCTGCCGTCAAGCATCGAACACGCTCTGCTAGACTTTTTTGGCTCAGCCCTCCGAGCATCTCAGCTAGTGTAGAAGCCGACATTTGTTTCCTTCATCCCTCGGCGACCGGAGATGTTGGAAAGATCAGGGCAAACCATTGCTATTTCGGTGAGACTCGTCTATCAGCCGGGTTGGTCCAAGCGGTGGCTGGGAAGAACTGCACCTAGTGCTTCTTCTCGTGTGCCAGACCCCTCCTGTTCTCCATTTTCTCAGTCAAGAAAAGGCACTGGGCCTGACGTTGCCATTCCAAATGCCAAATGCTGAAAATCCAAACCATGTCCTTTAGTCCCCAGCAACAGGCCACTGCCGGCAGATTGATCTTGAACCAAGCAAGAGGCTCACATCCGAATGGTCTGTTGCCCTTCAAGCAAAAATCCGGCCCGGCAGTTGTTGTTTTGCTTGGTTTCGACGGCATCCAATTCCCGCCTGTCTTGTTTGCGAGTTGTGAGTTTGCTTTTTGGATTTTTGGAGGTTGAGGCTCTAGATTCTAGATGTCCTTGAGCGCCCGGGCTGGGACGCACTTTGGGCCACAAGCCTCGATTTGAAAACGGCACGAACCAGGTGTGTGGAATTTTGTTGTCGTGACGGACGAATCGGAACAGTCCAAGCCCCAGCCTTTAAAGCAGCACCTGAGCCAGTTCTTACTGCAAGCGCAGCAGAATCTAAGTGGACCATGTTTTTGGGGTGTGACAGTACATGCAAACCCCAACAACGGTCCCTTGCCAGGACCGTTGTCAGGTCCCTCACAAAGCCCAGTGTAAAGCCCATGAGCCTCTGAAGTCAAAGGCTCAAAAGAACATCTGAAAGCCCTCCCGGCCTAATCACGCAGTCCGTAGCATCCTGAGTACGACCAGAACCAGACTCATGTTGAAGTGGTGTTTGCGTTACCGTTCTCACAAGCAGGGGATGTATACGCTTCTGGAAGTATCCAGGCGACTGACTGGTGTCTCAAGTTGGAGACTTCTGTTGGGGCAGTAAGGGAGTCCCGCCGTCAGCACGACAGTACATCCAAAACACAGCATCTTCGTTTCCATGTTCGGAGGTGTGGAATTCAGAACTCCAGCGCTCTGCCCGCAATCCCACGGTTCCCAAGCATTCCCACAGTGCAACGTTTCCAATGTCCGCAAGTCTGATCAAGTCATGGCTCCGATGCCAACTGTTCATCCTGGGAGTTCAGTGCGACATCCCGTGAATCGAGGGCCAAGTCCTGGAGAATGGCTACGTGGTAACCTAGGGGAGCTCGGACAGGGCCGACAGGGCTTCAGGGCAGTAGCACCAGGAAGGCCGGTACACGATTTGTACATGCAAGCTCATTATCATAAATCTTCCGTGACTGCGGAGGGGGAACTGTCGCCTTGCTCGTTTTCATTAAACATGCTGATGCCGTTCTCAAGGAGTGGAAGGTTTGTGCTTCCCCAGCTGCTTCGTCGAAAATAGCCGTGACCGAGAGGCTTGACCTACATCAGCGCGAGAGAACATTTGGATCCTGTGCAGTATCCTTGACATATCTTCACTGTTGAGCTCTTTCGATGGGTCTACTATCGCATCATGCACGGGAAGAGGGCAATAGGTCTTGGAATTCTATGCTTCTCTCCAAGGCCGCTGTGGGCCTTGCAAGACTCGAGCCCCACATCGAAACCCTGCTGCAACACTTTGTCAGAACTCCTGCTGCTCTTCGAATTGCATGTGCTGGACTGAAGTCGTCTGAAGGACGATCTGAAAGACTGAGACAGAAACACCCCACCAGTGTTGCTGACAGACTCCCGAAGCCTCATCCACGCCATGCTGGGCGTTCCGGGATAAACTGCAGGGCTGGGAGGCTCTGCTTCAACGGGCTGGAAGCTGAACAAATTAAGTTGGCTTTAGCCGTTTGGGTCCGGTGCAAGCCTAGGCCTAAGGTTGATGTATCAGTATAGTCACGACAGGACCATTAGATGCACTGCAAGCCCTAACGCCCTCCATGTTCAGTTATCTACAACCTCGAAGGCTGGCTCTCCCGAGGAGGACATGCTTAGACCTTCATCAGCAATGTCTCTATCGCTGAGAATTGCGAGTTCGGGCTTTCAGATTGCGGAGTGTGCAACTTACGGCTTGGCTGCAGTACGGGGCCCTCGAGGTCAAAGACTCCTTTGCCCTTGGACCTTGTACAGCAAAACAACAATCACTACTACAACCAGCATGACCACGAACAGTCAAGGAACAACAACTGCGACCCTCCTGCATTCGCTGCTGATTTTACAAATCCGCACCCCTGCATCGCTGCCTGCTTCGCGGCAGATAGCCTGGCATGGGACCGTGACCCAGCAACGCTGGGTTGCAAATGTACCAAAGCATACTGTATTCAGAGAACAGGAGTGAACCACCTGGCAGCATCAAGCATCGCCGACGCCTGCAGGACGGTGGTCAAAAGACGACGACGATGAAGTGGACAACTTCGCGTAAACCTGGTCTTGCTCCTAGTCTATCAAACTCAGGCTGCCGTGTCGATGACTTTGCTGAGAACTGTGGAGCTTTCTTTCCTGGAGGGCATAGGCTTTGGTTTCAACCTTGACTTGCAGCAGAGCTGTGCCCCAATCTGTTGCCAAACATGACCTGTTGCAACATGCACCAGTCTGAAGCCCACGCTGCTCTGTTGTCGACACCCGCAGTGACGTCCATTTTGTCCTGGCTCTCGGTTTTGAAGTGCCGGTTGGCAGCATAATTCCACTACAGAGCAAACACATCTAATAAGAACTCACTATATCTTCACTTAACACCTCTTGGAAAATCCCAAACCTGGGCTCTTCCAGGACTACAGCGCGCTCAGAGCAAGAGCAAAGCAAAGTGACAGCAGCTGCAGGCATCGTTTTGACACAAACAGAATGAGACCGGCTTCGAGGCTTTACGACAGGCCGTCGGCAGCAAAGGTCCAAGTACGCAAGCAAAACTGTCCCAAGCTAAAACGCTTCTCGACGACACGGGAGGGGTGGGGAAGCAGGGGCTATGAAATACGGTCGCGGTTACAAATTCCAAAGATCACATCAGGATTCCAAAAAAATGAAGCATTCATCCAGCACCAATGGTCCAGCGAAGCCCTACCCTTGAGTGGCGCAGACCAGCAGATCAAGCAGAAACTGTTAACTGCTCAACCCTGAGCCCTATAGATCATAAACAGCCCACTGACACCTACGGAAATGAGAATGGTCAAGCGCTTGGTGCCTTCCCGAAGCTCGAAGCCGACTTTGCAAGCTTGGCTTATAGGGAGACGCAGGACGGCGTAGTCAAGTGAAGTGAGGTCATTAAGAGTTTAGGGTTGAGTAGTGGCGCAGTAAGTGTGACTTCTACTTTGAGTGGTGAGTGGTCATGTGGCATGCAGTTGTGTTCACGCCCATGGGACTCTCGGCGGAAACAGTTTACGGGGCCCCGATCCAAAGTGCCGCTGGTTCAGTTTTCATGCAGAGGACTTCCTACTGCAAGCCATGGGAGAAGCTCAAGCCACTTTGCGCTCCAAACGGCAGCGAGAAGGCTGTGAAATGTCAAGCGCGTCATGGCCAAAGAGAGCATTTTGAGAGGTGGGGGGGCAAGCACCTGCTAGACATTCTTATATCAGAATCTGCAGCTTTGCTGAAAGCATGTGCAGCATATGGCCACATATGCATTAAGTCGACAGGTGTAAAGTGCGCCACTTCGAGAATACTTTGGCTTTAGAGTTAGGGTCCAGCGAGCTTGTCTCGCCTAGAAACTTTGCACAACAAGTATATCTTAACCTTGCCCATGCTCTGCAAAAGCCACGGACCACATGAGACCGAGAAAGGACAGACTTCTTTGGCTCTGTCCTAGTTCGTTATTGATGGCTGTCACTTACCACTTACTGCGTGTTGGCCTGATCATCCATCACGGCGGATCTGCAGTTTATGCCATTCGAAGCACGAGGCATGTCGCCATGCGGAACTGCAGATTCGTATACGCTGCAAACATGACAAACACAGCCCACTTTGCTCCTTTTCTGTTGCTGCTCACCGTCGCCTTGACAGCGCTGGACCATTTTGGACGGCAGCGCAGAAGCCAGGAGGTAGGGGCACTCGGTACGTTCTGCCGGATCACGGAGCAAACTTCTAACTTTGGCGTGTAACAGGCCTCATTGTGTTCGCTGCTTACGTCGATTGTTCCAACAACGCATTCCCGGAAGGCCTGTACCTATGTCCAAGATAATTGGCAACTAACTCTACCAAGTTCCGGCCCTACAGTCGCTTCAAAGCTTCTCAGCGCAGGGGGGAGTCAGTGTACAAAGACCAGTCGCCCCACGCAGAGCCAGTGAGGCCGTCCTTTCAGTGGAATTCGTGAGACATTTGAAGATTGAATGCAGACAGTGTTGGTCGGGAAGCGGTCGAAGCTTTCGGTGCTTAGGGTCCGGGGTTCGGAGGGGAGATCCGTCCGTTGGCGCCCTTCGACCGACATGTGCAAGGTAAGCTCTAAAGCTTTAGAGCAGCCTCCAAACGTGAGTGCCAGGTTGAAGACCATTGCTGTGCATGATGGCTGCTGACTCCATACTCTATATCCAGCTCCAGGAGCTTCTTGAATAACGGACGTCGTCGACGCAATCGCCGTCGTAGATGGTCACCATCGTCGTCGACGGTCGCCATCACAGCCTCGCTCCACCATCGTGGTCACCTCCTCCTCCGTCCTCCTTCCCTCCTCCTCCTCCTCCTCCTCCTCCTTCTCCTTCCTCCTCGTCAAACTCGTGTAGATGATGGTGGCATTGATGCTTGTTCCGACGGTAATGTCAGCCCACAGATGATCACAATTGATGGCGCGGGTGGTGATGATGATGATGACGATGATGATCACGAGGACGACGATGACGATGACTATGATGGTGGTGATGATGATGATGACGAAGACGATGGCGTTGATGGTGAGTGTGATGAGGATGATGACGATGATGATGATGGTGATCTGACCGATGAGAAGAGTGAGGACAAGCATACTGCTGAAGAACAAGAAGAAGCAGGTGAAGCTGCATACGAAGACAATCAATAATGCTAATAAAAACGATATGATGATGGTGACCATGATGGCGATCATGATGATGATGCTCGCCACTGTCCAACCCGGGCACAACTACCCTGCAAGTCGCCAAGGTTGGCTGTAACATCTGCGATGCCTGGAAAAACATGCCGATGATGGCCATCATCGCCTGAGCCGCTCAAAGTGGCTTTCATCATGCAGCGAGATGTGACGCTCTAGAGGATCTGGCCGCAAGATGGCAGGCTCTTGTTTTTCTCCACTCGAGGGTATGTTTGGTACTTGTGCCAGCACTTGGCTGAAGGCCAGCGTCGAAAATTCGGTGAGACCAACTGCATACTAAGTAAAGCATGTAAAGAAGACATAAGCGAAAGTCTAACAACACACACGCCAGCTCACAACTCGTCCTCGCAGTGGGTCTTGATGGTCACGTCCGAGGTGGCGTACGTCACGCCTGGGCTACTTGTGGACCAGCTTACGGATCATAAAGCTCAGTCTGCGGATTCTATAGTTAATCTGAGGAACAGGTCAGGCAGAAACCCTCGCCCATCTGGTCATCGTCCAAGAAGGCCTGATCGCTCTGGTCAATCTCGCCCTCCAGCACCTTGCCGGCGCAGCTGGAGCAGGAGCCCGCGCGGCAGGAGTATGGCAGCTCCAAACCCTCCTCCTCAGCCTGATCCAGAATGTACACATCCTCAGGGCATTCCTTGGCTGCTGTTCGCATTCTCTGCGTAGTACCCTCGGCCCTCGGCACAAAAAAAGGTTACTGGATCCCAAGAGCACCTATCTGACAGTTGCAGACCACTGCAAACAAGGGGCGAAAGATTGAGTGCCATCCGGAGTCTCGAGCGTCACCTTGAAGTGGGCGGGCACACCAGGGCGAGCTGGCACCGTGTTGACGATGGCGGGCACATTGCCAGAGGCCAGAGCACCACCCGACAGTGCCTGGCAACCCATGTGGACGCTCTGCTGAGGAGCCACAAAGGTCGGCTGGCTCGGGGTCCAGAAGCTGCGAAGGACGGCCACGCAGCACACTGCGGCCACGAGCACTGGCAAGGTACGACTTTGGGAGGCCATTGCGACGAAGCGTCTACTGTTTCCGAGTGCTGCTGCGTAGAGAGCCACCGTGGCTTGAGCGCTGGCCGCGCGCTTTCTTGGCTTGATGCATGTGCACGGTTCTTCCGCCAAGAAAGCACACATCCTCTCCGCGATGTCTCTTCAGCAGTGGACGTTATTTCTCCACTGCAGGGTGTGTTTGGTACTTGCCAGCACTTGGCTAGAGGCCAGCGTCGAAAATTCGGTGAGACCAACTGCATACTAAGTAAAGCATGTAAAGAAGACATAAGCGAAAGTCTAACAACACACACGCCAGCTCACAACTCGTCCTCGCAGTGGGTCTTGATGGTCACGTCCGAGGTGGCGTACGTCACGCCTGGGCTACTTGTGGACCAGCTACGGATCATAAAGCTCAGTCTGCGGATTCTATAGTTAATCTGAGGAACAGGTCAGGCAGAAACCCTCGCCCATCTGGTCATCGTCCAAGAAGGCCTGATCGCTCTGGTCAATCTCGCCCTCCAGCACCTTGCCGGCGCAGCTGGAGCAGGAGCCCGCGCGGCAGGAGTATGGCAGCTCCAAACCCTCCTCCTCAGCCTGATCCAGAATGTACACATCCTCAGGGCATTCCTTGGCTGCTGTTCGCATTCTCTGCGAAGTACCCTTGGCCCTCGGCACAAAAAAAGGTTACTGGATCCCAAGAGCACCTATCTGACAGTTGCAGACCACTGCAAACAAGGGGCGAAAGATTGAGTGCCATCCGGAGTCTCGAGCGTCACCTTGAAGTGGGCGGGCACACCAGGGCGAGCTGGCACCGTGTTGACGATGGCGGGCACATTGCCAGAGGCCAGAGCACCACCCGACAGTGCCTGGCAACCCATGTGGACGCTCTGCTGAGGAGCCACAAAGGTCGGCTGGCTCGGGGTCCAGAAGCTGCGAAGGACGGCCACGCAGCACACTGCGGCCACGAGCACTGGCAAGGTACGACTTTGGGAGGCCATTGCGACGAAGCGTCTACTGTTTCCGAGTGCTGCTGCGTAGAGAGCCTTCACGTCTGCGGTAAGTTTGCAAATGTGCTAGGCACTGCAGATCCACAGCTGATTCAATCCGATCATCGCAGGATACCAGAACCCCCGGTCCGATGAGATCCGCTGTACTACGACGACGTCCCCCACTACTACTACGACTATACTGCTTCTTTTGCTTCTACTTCTCCTGCTTCCCTGTGAAATCGAGTAGTCTGAGCACTACCAGTCTTGGACCTCGCAGCATGACTGATTGCGAGAACGGCGATAACAGGGACTGGAATGAGATGGGCATGTCGCAAAGCTGCAAGCAGGCAAGCTCTATGATCACCAGACAAGCCATGATTCCGTCGTCTACGAAGCAGATGAACTGCTGGGCCTGTTTACCGACACTGCTATTCTTCTGCTAAAACCTCGAGCCCAGGTGCCAATCGGCCATTGGCGAGCTCCGCATTGAGCTTTTTCTTCCGGCCCTCAGGATCGGGAGAAGTGATGGCCTGACGGAATGTGAGCTCTTCTACTTTCTCCCCTCTCAGCTACTATGCCATGCCGCAGTTTGCATTGCCACCCCCATGATTCTGATCATGATCAAGAATCAAGACGAGAGTGTTGTCGTTCTGGTTCATGCTAATCATCACTCGCACACTGATCGTGGCTCCCTGCTTACCCATCTGAAGCTGTGGATCGGAGCTCAGGATTCGATGCTTCAAGTTGTGTCAGGCGCTTCGATTTTGGTGTCACCGTTCTGCCAGGTGGCACAACTTTATGTTCGGGTATACAAACCGCAAAGTCATGAAATATTTAGATGAAAAGCAGGCATCGCTGTATTGGCGACACCATTAAATTACACTCGGAGAGGAACACGACCGTAAAGGAAGGCTAGAGACGCAGCAATGGTTCCATCCAGCGGCAAATCAAGTGCATCAACCCGCATGAAGAACACCAGGCCAAGCTGATACCGCAGGGTGTTTTGAACTTGTGGCAGCAAGATGAAAGGCATACGGCACGCGACGCTCGGAGCAAGACGAATCAGAGCCCCAGGACTAAATCAAACAAGCAGCACGAATGACTACTCTTCCAAAAATCCGTGCAGCAAGCCAATAGGACATCCATGGTTTCTCCACGGACGGGAGAGACACGAATGGATCTGCAGCCTCAAACTATACGCACAGGTAAGCCTAAATGAGGCCTGCCAAAAGCTCCTGCAGCGCCGGTTCCAGTCGAGCAGTCTCAACCCCAGGTATCAGATGTCTTCCCACCGACTGAACGTGCAGGCGAAGGGGGTTGTGGTTATCTGGGCCTCGCTTGCGAGCGAACCGGGCACGGCAGCCGGAGCAAGACTGCAAGCCTTCTTCCGTTGTGAAGAAATGCCCACCCGAACCCGACCCTTAAACTCCTGCCTTCCATCCATACGCCCCGGGCTCGCCCTTGAACTTGTACACGAAGAGCTCGTAATATCCTGTCGTGGCGGCAAGGGCTTCGGCTGCAACTCAAGAAGTTCATGAAGAGTTTCTGAAGCAAGGCTTGGCTTAGAAGCTCACGAGGCCCTGACCAAGGTGGTGCCTATGCTGCTGCGACGGTGCCGACGAACACACGAACCATAACAACGACGACGATGATGATAGCAAACATGCAGCGGTACCAACTAAACAGGCAAATCTGTAAACGAGAGGGTGGCTGAATGGGGCGAACTTCCGGGCGGGCGGGTGGGTGGTAGGTGGGTAGGTGGGAACGACATGTAAAATATGCAACAACATGAGAAGATGTGTGTATACATATACAATTACATATGTGAGCACGTGCGTATGTGTGCGTGTATATATATATATATATATATCTGTGTGTGTGTGTGTGTGTTAATCTTACCCATCGAAACTTGCATCTATGCTAGGTTTGGACACAAATTCTCTAGGCCACAATAAATGCGCGGTCTACAGACACGATCAAACAATCGTGAGCACCGAGACGAAAACAGCGACAGAAACTGAGACTGAGAGACCGAGATGCGAGCGTGCTTGTTCAACATTTTGCGTTACTATGCTGCGCATGATGAAACAAATGGCCTGCACAAGGGGGCCGAAATAGAAAGATAGAGAGAGCGAGAGTCTTCTAGATCTCGAACCCTCAACTGACATGATTCGTTTAAGCCGTGACAGCGTCACAATTCTAGCATAAGTTCCCGTGCTGGACCCCACAAGTCGGTCCCAAACCCTATTAATATGTCAAAATGGGCCTGCAAAAGCGACGATCTGAGCCCAACCGGCGCCCGGAACCTGCAGTTCCAGCTTCGGGTCACAAGGTACGCTTGAGACTTGTTGCATCTTCCTGTTACGAACATTGTGAAGTTGGGGATTCATTGTCAAGGGTGCATAGGGTGTAGCGTGGCAGCAAGGTATTTATTTCATGGAAACTGTAGCAGTAAAGAACGCGAAAAAGACCTCGCAGCAACACGAAACTATGTGAATAGGGCCGTTGCAGAAATGTCGGATAACTGCGCACTACGCTCCTGGCAATAAGTTCGCGCACAAATCTTCCACGGTTTCCCGAAAATGAGAACAACCACTCTGGGTGTAGTTGCAGCCTCTTCAGACCGCCAAAACAGGGTCTCGGCTCCCAGACATAGTTGCAATACACAGCGTCAAGCTTATTTTAAACAAGGATCCTACGTGCACCTCCAGCTCCAAGCTTACGAAGCCGGTGAGCATTCCAGAGGGCCAAATCGCGTCATAAGCTCATCACTACTTTCTCGGCTAAGTTGGGGCAGGGTCTGTTACCCCAATCGTCCGGTCTGTAATCAAAAAAACCTGAAACACGAACATGGCCAAGGGCTAGAGGCTTCGGTGGCCGGGAAACAATAGGCTCTTCGAGTTTTCGGCTTAGGAAGTCTGGACGTCTTCTTCAAGCCCACTTGCAAGATTCAGGAAAATAAGGGAGAAAAGTCCAGTCTACCCTGCGAGAGGAGAACAAGGCACTGCCCCCGAAGCCATTTCCTCAAACAGCGAAACTCTCTGCCTTGGAAATGGCCGCAAGGCCGTTTGGCACGTCCGAGAACTTCCTGAGATTTGCGAGAAATCCGAAACGAAACTAAGCCTGCACGAACCACAACCCTGGACCCTTCGTTCGATCTTGAGGACACAAACCGTTCCGTCAACCTGATCCCTTAACTCTCAAGTTCCAGCCCCATGTTCGCACTATCTTGGATTCCCTCCGCGAATCACAATCAGATCATTCTCAAACCTTATAGACCCTGAATTGAGCACATGAACGTTTAAACAGCTTTGCAGAGGAGCCGAGTAGACGGAGCCGAAACGGTTGAGGATGAAGCCCGTGTGCTTTACGATGTTTCAGGACGTCGGATTCTTCTCGATGTCTGAAAACACAGACTGCTTGACTTGACAGCCATCTGCAAGCTTCACGGTGCTGTTGGACAAGGCTGATACATGCCATGATCGAACTGAAAGGCTGCCTCAGACAGGCCGAGACACGCATCACCCACATGCCCCAACAACTCGAGCTAAAGGTTCAACATCTTCAACATCTACAGGATAACTGCGGCCCCAGAGCACTAAAGCTTCTCCAGGTTTATCTCAAACCTGCGACCTGCTGCCCAGAAGCAAGCCCAAAGAGGGCGAGAGGAAGCCAGGCCATTTGAAGTACTCCGGCACAATGTAACCAACAGTAGCCTCTTCGATTCAGGACTTGCCTTTTAGTGTAGAGTTGACCGAGCTAGCTGGTGCGTTGTGATTTCTGATGCCTTCTAATAATGAATTAGCGAAGTCTTTTGGAGTTTATTTTTTGTTGTGCCGCACCGGCGCAGAGCGTACGGGATCGCAGATTAGAGCAGATTCCTCTATGGTCCTCAGGCATAAGCACCACTGGGTTCCGAAGCATGGACTTTCCCAGCTTCACCCAAGACTGCCCTAAGTCACTCCAAGCCACGTACATTGCCACTCGGCCGTGCTTGATCTCCGTCTCGCGGCGTCTCTTGAAGGTTTCCACGCTGCCATCGCGGGTGTAGCCAACAGGGTCCCAGAAGCCTGAGACTGGAAGCTTCTGGTTGGTCTTCGGGCGTCTGTAGGGCTTGGACACCAGCACCTTCAGCCCTGTTAGGTAGCATCGGGTATAGAATCTGTCGTCGTGGTGAAAGACTTTGCTGCTAAACCTGCGACGTCCCTAGGAATCCCTTTAAGCTCCGTGCCCGCGGTCTACAGGTGTAAACCCTCTACTGTACAAATCGAATCCAGAAGGCTCTGTACAGCGCACTGTGTAGAATCCGGAAACTGTCCATTTCGAGCCCCCTGAAATCCGTCGACCAACCCGTTTCATATGTGGCACCCTTGTCTTTTCGGCCTTCTCAACAAAATCAAAAGCGGCCCTAGCGGAAGCATTGGACGTCTAGGCCATGAACCTACTTCCCCATGCCCTACTAAGGGTGGCCATGAAACCAATGCCTAATGCTGGCGCTGTCCTGAAGACCTGAAGACCTGCGCCTTTATGCTAGCGGCACACCTGAAGCAATAAGTAACCAGAAAGACAGCATATCTCTGCACCGCAAATGCTTTCGGAGGGCCGACAGGTGCCTGGACTCCCAGCTCTTCCTGTCAGATGCTTTCTGGATCTTCTACTGTAAGCTCGGACTTTTGAGTTCGTCGAGATGCCTCGCCTCTCGGGCTCTGCCTCGGGTCTCTCAAAGGAGGCTCGGGCTCAGGGATGAGAACGAATGAATCACGAAAACTCCTGCAGTCATGACGCACTTGACGTTCCAACTGTAAAAACCATACAAGTCTGAAATTCAAACCAACAAGTCCCACAGTCGCAACCAGAATATGCCTTAACCCTAGACTCCGAATCGACAACAGATGCAACCATCTGGAGATCTGCAATCCTTCCCCAAAGCTGCGATTGCCACCCACCCCGTGCCTCGAAAGCGCGGAGAGGCGAGTCTGTGTAATTTGCCCAGTCGCCCCAAGCAGAGCCGGTGAGGCCGTCCTGCAGGGTCTGCGTTGGAGATTGGGACACATTGAGAGATTGAAAGATGTTCCACGATTTTACAATCTTCGAAGGAACTTCGACTCAGGGCTGAGGTGCGAGGGTTTTGGATGAAGGAAAGTTGAAGGTTCGCCGCGGGCCATGGAACTTGGGATAAGGATGGAAAGCCCAAAGGCATCAGTTTGGTCTTGGTACAGAAAAACACAGAATAAGAACCCGTGTTTTCGCATTACCAAACAGCAACCTGAATGAGGTATAGCATCACTACGAACTCAAACAGACACAGGTTACACTAAACTGTGCCCTGACAGGTGGCAAGCTCTCTTTTTGATACCGTCAGGTTTTTCTAATTTGTGCAGCGTTGGGTTTTGCTTTGGCTGAGTGAGGCTATTGGCAGCTACCACGCTGAATTCAGTGATGCTTGTCAACCCATCGACATTCCCAAACATACGCATGATGCACTAGCTTCTTCTTAGATCCCATCGACAGAGCCCGTCATTTGCTGCGTCGCTAATTCGAAGCCTTTGTGCTGCAGGTCCTGGAAAAACATACCAATAATCGCCATCATGGCCTCAGAAGATGACTTGGAATTCCTAGAGTGCTAGAGATCTGTCCAAATCCAGGACTACAAGCCACCACCCCCCCCCCCCCCACCCCCTTGTCGCACCCCTTATACCCCAGAACAACGAGCCGCCCCACCGCGCTATCGAACGGGTCTGAAGGGCGAGGGACACACGTTGGCTGGAGTAGGTGCTTGTGTTACTTCTGTTACGATCAAAACAGGGCGGTTCGCTTGCAAGTCCACACACATTGATGTGTGGGTGTATTGAAGGAAGCCTCTGCAGCTTTCACTTGCGCATATCAAAATCCAGACAACAATGACATTGTCCTGCAAATGCGCTGACGAATGTTTGCATCCTAGTAGAACACTTGTCAGATGCCAGCCGCCTGCATCCATCTAACGGCACTGAGTTGCTACAAGCCTACTATGGTACTACTGCTATACTACTGCAGAACCACTTCTGTACCAATACACTGCTGCGAGGATACCACCACAATCATACTACGGCCGTACTACTCGTTTACTACTCTACTACTCCGCTACTCTACAACTCGCCGACTATGCTGCTACACTAGACCACTAGACTGCTAGAGTAGACGACACTACTAGGCTACTATATACTACTATGCTACGGTACAACTCTTCTACTCTTCTACTCTGCTGCTCTTGTACTATGCTATTATACTGCTAAACTACTACATATACTACTGGACTACTACACTACTACACGACGCTTTTACTACACTACAACTATTCATACTATACCACCATGCCAACATTCCACTATCAAATACCACCAAACAGCCATATTACGATACACGTATAGTACTAAGACGCATTTCGTCAGCTCCACGAAACTCCAAATCTCCAAGCTGGAGCATGTGGGGATCCTCCTGCACTAACCTCTTCAGTAGTCTGTATGGGAACGTTCCGTGCAGGCTTCAATAGCATGATGCAGCCCTGGCGCCAAACGTCCGTTGGCGATCTCGGCATTTAGTTTCTTCTTGAGACCCTCGGGATCTGCGGATGTGATCGCCTGTCGCTGTTAGGGTGAGGATCGCGAGATCTCAATTCTTCCGAGATTTCCGATAATATGCTGTAACTCCGCATCTTACACCTCTAGCCGACTGACTCTAGCCCGGATTAGGAGCCCTTTTTCCCTGAATCCCGACGCGGCCATCGAAAAGTTCCTCTCTAAACCCTGTTGCCCTGGACATCATTCGCTCCCCGACTTCAGCCCGGCTTAGAGCTTTCTATTTTCGGGTGTAGGATCTGTACCCGGGCCTTCCAGCCATATGCTCCTGGCTCGCCCTTGAACTTGTAGACGAAAAGCTCGTAATAGCCTGTAGCTGGGCGTGGGACTTACCATGCGGGTGGTTCTACGATCCTGCAACAGCTTCTTCAAGCAAAAAAGGCCCCGTACATGTAGTTCTTCTTCCAGCAACAGGTTTTTGCTGCTTCCGATGTCATCGATGTTAGCAATTTAGAGAACACCTGTAGTCGCTCTGCAGGTTCGACGTGGGCATATTTAAAGACGCAGGGAACCCTTTGAGACAATCAGGGCACTTTGCGCCTGCAGCCAATTCAATGTCTTTCGAAATCCTGCCTGCAAAAGCCACGATCTGAGCCCAGCCGGCACCAGGAACCTGCCAGGTGTTGCCCAGTTTCGGCCTTTGCATCCCAGTAGAACGTTCAAGCTTTGGAAGCTCAGTCTGAAAGGCTTCAACTTGTTGGCGAGCTTGCTCATGCATTCACAGTGGAGCAAACAAACCAACGTCGCATTCCCCTGTTGCGTGCCTGAAAGGACGAGGGTTACCCGGAGACCATCTACAACTCAAGCTGCAAGAGCTCGAGAAGTTCAGGCCAATAGACATCCTAATGGGAGTCGCTTTCCAGTGCCGATCCGCTCCTCTGCGCCCAACCTCAACCAATACTTTTCCCGAGCAAGCTTGTTGTGTCCCAACCACGTAGCACGATTGCAGGTTTTCCCTTCAGACGCCGGAATAGCAGATCGGGGCTGGAAGTACGTTCAAGGTCAGCGACTTTTCGACCGTGTGGCTTGTGGAAACATCGAAATCAGGGAAGCCATGCCATCAGCACCAACAATCACCATCAGCATCATTTATGTTCTTCATGAGTCTCGCCCGCTCCTTCCGAACGACCACGACATGAACCTAAAGTCTACTACAGCACGCCATACACCGGCCTTGGAAATGGCTGCCAGGCCATTCGGCACGTCAGAGAACTTCCTGTGCTTGGCTCAACGCTAAGTTGAGGGGACTCAGGGGTCCAAGTTGCTGTACCATGGTTGACCCATTGCCGCATTACTGGGTGGTGGTGTGTTCCTTGTTCGTGTTGTTCCTGGAAGGCTCCAAGCTCGACTGTACCAAACGTATGGATCATCCCACCAGCTTCCGTTGATGCTCGCATCGTCAATTGTGGCATTCCGGCTGCATTGCTTCGTGGACATCTAACATCCTTCCAGTAGGGATTGCAACAGTCCGATTCTTCCCGTCATTTAGAAGAACGTTCCACGCTCGAACCTTTACTTTCGTGTAGACAAACGAGCAAGCTTCTCACCGTTCGAAGCCCCAGCTCCGATCCCACAACCCTGCGCTTCTTGCTGCCCAGTTTCAGGCCCAAGGAGGGAGAGAGGAAGCCAGGCCATTTGAAGTACTCCGGCACAATATATCCAATGGTCGCCTCGTTTCTCACCACGATGACATGAACTTTTATGGCTGACTTGGGCTTAAGGTTGAATGCTGTTGCTTACGGCGCACGACGCGGAAGGCTGCCAGGTTGCGGTGTTTAGGCAGCCTCTGTTTCGCACAATGCAGGTGGCTAGTGCCTACATAGACGTTTTTGGTCTGCCATGTTCCCCATTCAATCGCCCGCACGCAACAATACATGCAGCGATTTGTGGCAGCTAGCAGCGCCAACGCAATCCGAGCCGAAACTCAACGAGAAAAACACATTGCCGTCGCAAGCACTCCAGACTAACCTACATAAACAAATCTAGATGCACTTCAGCAGGGACTGCGCTCTCGTGCTCAGCAACATCTACTGTAGCATCGATGCAACTCCGCTATCCACTCCGGGCTTGTGTGTGCCGCTGCTTGTTCATAGAGGCATCCAGAGTCGGCTCCTCAATGCATGTTCCAGGATTGATTTCTTGCGTCTTCACCCATCTCCAGAAATTTCTGTATTGAGTTCGTTGCACGGTGCTGGCAACTTGCAACAATACGAAATGCTTTGTCGGATGGTTGTGCCCAGAAAAGTTTGAACTCTCTCATGCCAAGCAACGTACATTGCCACTCGGCCATGCTTGATCTCCGTCTCGCGGCGTCGCTTGAAGGTTTCCACGCTGCCGTCGCGTGTGTAGCCAACAGGGTCCCAGAAGCCTGATCTCTGAACAGACAGCCCTGCATTCCTCTCCCAAGCTGGGTTTTTCACCTGCGACAGCCATGCCAAGTTGGAAAGACAATGGCGGATTGTTAATGGCCAACAACATCTTGAGGGAATCGAATAAAGATTGTAGCTGTTCTGCTGCGAGAAACCTTCGGCATCAAGTACGAGCACACAAAGAAAGCTTCAGGCGAGAACAGAAGGACAAGCGACAAAGAGTACAACCAAGAGGGGCGTGAGTTGCTGAGGGTCGAAACATCATCCACAACCCACAGCTGCAGAATCCAAAGGTCAGATCAGCCCATATCAAGCCTGATTTTCCTCAAAACCCACTGCGAAGGCCAGGACGCCCACCGGCGCCTGCACACCCAGCTCTTCCTGCACAAGTGTTTGAGTCTTTCGGTCAACCACCACGACTACAACTACAACAACAACCCCCGGCCTCGCCCGACCCGGCTGCTGCCGCCGCCCGTGCAGCAACAACAACGACGACGACTGCTACTACTACTAGTGCTACTAGTGCTACGATGTAGTACGACCAAATATAGTACTCTTGGTACCAGCAGCTGTAGTAATAATGGTGGTAGTAGTAGTAGTAGTAGTACCCATGCGCGCCTCCTTGCGCCTGGTGTTTTGCTCTGTTTTCAAGTGTTTCGGGGAGGTTTTGGGTTGGGGGTGGGGGGTGGGGGGGGGGGGGGTTAATAACGACATGGTCGACCGCAATGGTTTTCTTGTTGCCAAAAACACTGGCAGTGCCGGTACTTTGGAGCGTTTCATGGGGCCTTTTGTTCGACTGGGAGGGGAGGGTTTGGTGGGGGTTTCAATCACGACATGCTGAACCGCGATTTTTGCCGAAAACGCAATCCCCACGGTGTGGCTCGATTTTCGTGTGTTCTCGAAGCATTTTCTTCCACTGGTGCGGGGGGTCGTCAGGCGGGGGGGCCCGCACAGTGGCTCGATTTTCCTGTGTTGGCAGTAGCAGTAGCAGTGGCAGTAGCACAGTACACTATTATGGTCGACCGCAATGGTTTTCTTGTTGCCAAAAACACTGGCAGTGCCGGTACTTTCGAGCGTTTTATGGGGCCTTTTGTTCGACTGGGAGGGGAGGGTTTGGTGGGGGTGTCAATCACGACATGCTGAACCGCGATTTTTACATGCACATCGTTGGCATTCTCAGCATCTTCATCATCATCAGTAGCATCACTAGCATCATCATCGTCATCCAAAAGTGTAATTATGAGTAAAACAAAGTAGTTTTTGACAACGTACCCAAACTGCGATTTTCACAAAACCCTGGAAAAACCAGTACTTTTGACCCTCGAACGCCTCCAAACTACCAGGCGCCAGGAGGCGCGCAAGCCTAGTACCCATGCGCGCCTAGTAGTAGTAGTAGTAGTAGTAGTAGTAGTAGTAGTAGTAGTAGTAGTAGTAGTAGTAGTAGTAGTAGCAGAAGCAGTAGTAGTAGTAGTACTAGTGGTACTAGTAGTAGTAGTAGTAGTAGTAGTAGTAGTAGTAGTAGTAGTAGTAGTAGTAGTAGTAGTACTAGTACTAGTACTAGTACTAGTAGTAGTAGTAGTAGTAGTAGTAGTAGTAGTAGTAGCTCTAGCAGTAGCAGCAGTAGCACTGGCAGTGGCAGCGGCAGCGGCAGGGGTGACAGCGGCAGCAGCGGCAGCGGCAGCGGCGGCGGCAGCGGCAGCGGCGTGGGCATGGAAGCGGCAGGGGCAGGGCCAGGACAGTGGCAGTGCTCGTGGTCGTACTAGTTGTGGTGGTGGTAGTAGTGGTCGTACTAGTTGTGGTGGTGGTGGTGGTGATAGTAACAGTCATGGCGGCAGCAGTAGCAGTAGTAGTAGCAGTAGTAGTAGCAGTAGTAGCAGTAGTAGTTAGTAGTAGTAGTAGTAGTAGTAGTAGTAGTAGTAGTAGTAGTAGTAGTAGTAGTAGTAGTAGTAGTAGTAGTAGTAGTAGTAGTAGTAGTAGTAGTAGTAGTAGTAGTAGTAGTAGTAGTAGTAGTAGTAGTAGTAGTCGCAGTTAGTAGTAGTCGCAGTTAGTAGTCGTCACAGCAGCAGGAAAACTGTAAGTAGGATCATCATCACATCAGTGTGTGGCTCTGCTCAAGGCGACGAAGGGCTTGAATTCAGGGATGGGCCTGACGCTCATCTTGTAAAGGCTGCGCCGCTCAAACCTTTAATCCTTCCACCACAAAACAACACAGCAAACCGTGAAATCTGTCGCAGACTCGAGAACTGTCCTCGAAGGCTCGCAATGGGGAGGCAGTGTAGTTCCTGACATCTTCAAATTTGGCTTCCAGGGGCCGAGTGCAGCTTTTGAGGCATAGCAAGACTGCGTGATCTTCATCATCGACTTCCATGGCTAAACTAAACCCACGAACACTTCATCGATGTCAAATCAGCAGTTCCGCGTTCCAACACCTGCCGAGCTTCGCCCAGTCACCCCAAGCGGAGCCTGTCAGCCCATCCTGGCCGAGACATGGAGGCGGTATCGTCCCGGAGTTGAAGTAAAAAGCACAGGTTCATCCAGCTGGCATGAAGTCTTGCATTAGCGAGCGTAGCAGCAGACACCAACATTTGGAAAGAAACAGGAACAGTTGTCGAGCTGTCAAACCTGAACCCTAAATCCCAAACCCCAAACTTGTCGCGCCTACATGCACAAAGCTGCAGCCATGGGATTCGGACAAGAAGGGTACGATAGTCTCCAATTTCTTTCGTTTTGCCAATCTTTCGAACCGGTACACACAAGAACCCTACCTACGACAACATATCGTTCCAAGAAGTCGCAGCTCGTTTGTATGGTACCTGGAAGAACATCCCGATGATGGCCATCATCGCAAGCCTGCCGTTGGCAAGCTCAGCGTTGAGCTTCTTCTTACCTGAGTACGGGCCGAGAGGCGGTGCTCCAGGCCTCGTGCGGTCTGTACTAGAGATTTTAAAAAATGCAACCCAAACCACAGGGCTGCTTGCACTTCTCACCCCCGGGTGGGCTGGCATCTTGAAAAGCACAGGCAAGAATCCACTGCTACGATGCGCCGATACAAAGCAAAGGTAATCAGAAAACGCGTGCCCGGATCAGAATCGAACCTAGTTTTCCGACGTCTGAGACATTGGCAACACCTTGTCCAGCCTGCCTGATGCGGTATTCGGCTGTCGGTATTGAAGGAGATCTTTTGACATCTTCACCTTCTTGGTGCAGCCCAGTTGCGAACCTCCGGGTCCTCGATGCCGGTGTTCATGATGCCAATGGATCGAAGGCCTCCGACAACACGGCTTGGGGCATCGGGAATTGTTCGGCACAGCTCGAGCTTCAGGAAGCCACAGAGAGGAAGAGGACTGAAGATGGGACTTCTCGGGCAGGGCAGAGACGAGAGTAACAGATTGCCAGCAAACACTCACAAAAGCAAGTTGCACGGTACTCAGATTGCACATGCAGGAGCCACGAGCCTCGGATGCCAGGTAACTGAAGGCTGCAAACAAGACAAGCACATGCAATGAAGTTGAACCACGACCAAGAAATCACTCAGTGCATGCCAGTTGCATGCAACAGCAACTGGTAGGTCAGCCTTTTTCGAGCATTGTCGGGCTGCTGTGCATAGAACATGTTCACCTCTCGTTGCACTACCACCCTAATGCAGGCAGTAGCACGTAAGTCATCACTCAGATGCTAGAGGCCCCTCCTTCTGCAGACTCGACCCAGTTCATCCTCAAACAAGGTCACTATCTGCCGACCACGACTGCCGTGAGCTCAGTCTGCTCTTCCAGACCTAGCTCGGACAAAGGAGTTTCACCCGAAGGGAGCTGTTTGGCTCCATGAAGAAGGCATGTGTTAGCAGCTGGCAACTCGAACACGGCTGCAATCCCTTCTACAACATCGTGCATGCTAAGATCCACTGGCACCGTGATCGTAGCTATTTGACGCTCTGATCTCACCGTCAGAGGTAAGAAAACAGTCGCTGCTTTCTGCTCCTGCTCCTTCTTTTGGTGCTCCTCGATGCTTTCCTTGAGCGTCTCGGCAAACCAAAGAGGGAACTCATCTGCACTAAGCTTGTCATCGGCCCCATCTCTGCTGAATCTTCCGATCGAGGCCTTGAGGCCATCTGGGGTGACCCCGCTGATGCTCATGCCGAGGCCAATATGCAGATCATCGCAGAGTGTGTGCACCTCGCTGAGCTCGAGAGTGTTATTGCGATTTTTGTCATAACGCCGAAAATACATATTGCAAAGGCCCTTCATTAGAGCAGGCGAGTTCAGCAGCGCTTTCGCCAGCGAGCTTGTCAAAGTAGGAGGGACTACCGGCAAACCAGTGCACTGAGTGCAGTGATGGTCACTTCCGAGTCGAGCCTCCTGCTCGGGCGTGTATCCGAAATGACTGATCTTCCAACTCCCAATGTCTTCGACCAGTGGCGGAGATATGTTGTACTGAGTCCCACCAAGGTTGACAGTCATTGGAGCTGAAGTCACCTTTTGACCATACTCGTCAACTCCCAAGCGCTGCTGCTGCTCCTGTGTGTACACTGCTGCTGTCCAGGTCCCCATATTTCTACTTCCTGCCGGACGCTCGATCTCCCCACGTGTCCATGCCGGGCCGATCACCATGGCCGCGGCAACAGTCCAAGGTTGGTAATAATCTTGCTCACAACACGGGCTGAAGACCTGGAACGGGAACTTGGGCTGAAGTGGCCACGGAGCTATCGGAGGCTAGCAGCAACAGCCGTGAAATAGGCTTCTAGAATCACTGTGTATCTTTCGCTCCTGAGGCACATGCTCGACAGTCTAACAGAGTATTGACCACCATCTGACCAAGATACAGCATTACAGACAAGCTGCTGCACGATCTACCTTTCTCCGACCCATTAACATGCCATGCACAGCCTAGAAGACAAGGACAGGCGACATGCGCGATGACACTTGCCAAAATGCAGCACCCAGCCTAGAAAGCCCGCTCCGTAGTTGCCAGGCTCATCCTTGATCTGCTCGTTGTAGACCTGGCGCTTTTGCGGTGGTGGCGTCCCTATGTAAATGCCAACTGCATCTCAGGATTTTGTAGCAAGGCGCCGCATTACGCACTGCCACATGGGGCCTGATCACAAGTTGCAAGTTCAAACTACATGCCGCCCAACTTCTTTCCATGTCCTGAATGCATGCCCCCACACTCCCCCACCTGTACTCCCCACTACGCATCCTCAACAAAATCTCCACCTCATATCACCTCATGGAAGCCGGATCCCCAAAACGTCAAGTCTTCTCATAAATCGGCAGCCGGGCTTGGATCTCAACGATCCCCGCAAAGCCAACGATCTGGAGCCAGCCGAAGGCCGGCACCTGCAGGGCTTTGGACGTAAAGCTCCTACTGTAGGGGCCTTAATAATTAGAATAGGGTTTTGGGGCCCATTGTATTAAAATCATAATCAGGAACCCCAAAAATAGTTTCGGTAATTGTTAAGACCCCTATACTATCGGCAGTGGGCGTCTTCGAGTGTGAGAGATTCCGCATTTCCAGCTCTCAAGATTTAAGAACTTCAAGGTGTTCATCGATGAGTCATGCACGTGGCAGTGAGCGCTGACCGCAGATAAACATTCAGGAAGACAAATGAAGAAAGAACTTCACTCCGCTATCCGAACCAGCTCCCTGACGAAGCCATTCGGCTTGAGAACAGGGGCATCATGCCGGAATCATGCCTTGGAGAAAGCCGACAGACCATTCGGTACATCGGCGAACTTGATGTCCAGGTACTTGGAAAGATAGCCTAGGGAAACTCCTATGCAACACCATGTGGGGATTGCGCCACGACACGAGCATCTCCACATGACCCGAAAAGCCGCAAGGGCTCGGAGTCTTGGTCTGATGACATTTGCACATATGACCCCGCAATCCCAAAGGCGTCCAGACCCCGAAACTCGTTTCCAGAGCACACCAAGCCTGGGAAGCGCCAGTATTCCGGCAGAATATATCCAATCGTAGCGAACATGGCCACTCGGCCTGAGATGGTGTTGCAGGGCTGCAGAAGCTTCGACTCAGCATTGAGGGTGTTGGTGGCCAATGGCCGAAACGCAAATCATAAAACCTGCGGCCAATGAATCTACGAAGCTCGGCCCGAAACCTCTGAGGAGTATCATCCAAGCCAAGGGTACTAACACTAGGCCAGACTATTTCGAGGAGCCGTGCTTCAGCTCCACTTCTCGCCGGCGCTTGAAGTCCTCTGGTGGCTGTGACACTTTATACAGATTGAACACGGGCAGTGCCGAAACGAGGGGCTGCAACGTCGTCAACTGTGGGATGACATCTATAGCAAAAAGATTAGGATTGCTCAGTAAGCGACCAGCTAATACACAGTACTCGCAGCGCTGGATATCTTGTGGAAAGCAACAGGCGCGGCGCCATAAGCATTTATTTGTTCCGGGGGCTTGAAGAAGGTTTGTTTTGTACAGTGGAAAGACGAACACATGTTCCTTTGAGGGAACGAAACCTTGCCCCAGAGGTCCAGATGCATGCAAGACCCCTGAGCTGGCGGCTTCAGTGTTCTGAAATAAGGATTGGGCTTAGGGATGTAATTGTAGACGAAGTGTCCCGATGCATGGGATCTGCCACTTCGAATGCGATGCCACAACCAAGCATGTACAACTACTTGCGCAGCTCAGCTCGACGTTGTGGATTTCCATCAAGCCACATCTGCACCCCCAATGCCTTCAATAGGACTGATCCAAAGCCATGGCACGGAGACGTTGCCGCTAGCAGACAGACCCAGCGGGTCCCAGAAACCGACCTCTGAGGCAAAGATGTGTATGGATTTTGCTTGGTGAGGTCTCGTTCCTCGGCCTAGACCTTCATGCTTGGGGAACACTGAGTGTCACTCGAGTTGGAACTTAGGATTGAAGGTAACGAAACCCAATAACTGGAGAGTAGAAGCTGAAACCAGCATAGTCACTGAAACAGCAACGAAGGGAAATTACAAAGGTCGGACCCAAGTTGGGACACCTGACTGAGACGAACACTCCACTGGACGACTTTGATGTAGCCCTTTCCGGCTTCTCAGCCCTCCTGAAGTTTCTTTCTGCCTTCACCAACCTTGCCTAGCTTCTGCTGAACAGTGATCATGTCATCAACTCTGCTCTCACAAGACGGCGCTGCCAATTTGAACCGAAGCGGCTGGCGCTTGGACACCAGTTTCCTCAGCTCCGCATGTACTGATTAGTGGTGTTCACAGCACAAGTCTCAGCATGCAAGCCTTCAGCGGCTTGGGATCCCTTGACATGACCTTATATCATCTAAGCTTGAGAAAGCTGGAAGAGACGGAGCTCTGTATTCTCAGCTGGAAGACCAGGCATATCAATATGGACCCTAGATTCTTAGTTTTTACCATATCTCTAACGTCAAGATCCAAACGAGTATGATTTGGCTGAATATTTGAGATGCAAGGCGAAACACATGCGCAGCTATGTCTGTGTGGGGTAGTGTGCTTGGCGAAGGGGCATTCAAACTTGATATCTTGCATCGAAAAATCGGCACCCGAATCCCTGAAGAGGAAGTCCCCAGATATGTTGGACAGGTTCACTCAAAACCCCGATGCTGAACGGTAAGCTCCCTGTTCAAAACGAAAATGCCGACCCAAAGAATGAAATGGAAACTCTGTAGCCTGCTTCCGAAGATCGGAACTGGAACTGCTTACGGCGGCTACCGGAATGAACAGAACATTTGACGCGACCAGGCATCGTCCTCGAATGCCCGAAGGGGCGAGTCCGTATACAGCGCCCAGTCACCCCAGGCGGAGCCGGTGAGACCGTCCTCTCTGATGTCAAATGAAGATTTGGGATTCTGACCGGCTGGGTCCGGGGCGACAGTTATGTGCTTTACGATAGTTTGAAGCGGGAAGCTAATGCACGAGCTGATGGTAGCTAGGTCGTCTCTTGACGTCTTTCCTTAAACCCTGTACCGAGAAAAATCCTCGAGCAAAGCCGACACTGTGTGCAGGTTCTTCACTGCCGATCTAAAGCAAAGCCACGTTCAGCCCGACAAGGCCTGGAAGAACATTCCGATGATGGCCATCATCCTCGAATGCGGGAGAACCGAGGACCGATAACATGTAAAGCCGCCATTGAACAGTCTGCTGTGGGCTAGGTTACGTGATCATGCACCATCGCGCCATGCATCGGCTGCTTGCAAGATGTAGAGGAATCGAGATTCTATCACTTCTTAAAAGGCGTTGTGGCTCACGAACAGGTACTATCAGCATGTCAGATGGTGGGGGTGTTGTCGAGTCAAGCCGCGCCAATCTGCCGTTTGCAATCTCCGCCGAGAGCTTCTTCGCCCGCAACTGGTGGGGGACTGTCGTGCATGGGCTCAGAAATCCGAAGCCTCTCTGCCTTCCTGAAAAATGCTGTGCTTTGGTGTACTTAACCAACAGCCTCAATGTCGGAACATGTCGGAACCTAGATTGTTTTTACCGTAACCGTAGGTGACACAAGGACGTTCGCTGAACAGGCAGTCTACCTGGCCCGTAAATTTGCATGGGCGCTCCGCGTGCAATTGGCTGCAAACCCTAATCTCCGTCGTCCGAACTCTCTCCCCTCTCCCCCGCAGCCGTGGGGTCGTTGATGGAGCTGCCGAAGCCGACGGCTCCGAGGCCAAGGAAACCCTTTCCTCGGAGTGGACAGAGAAGGCTTGCGGACCTCATTTATGATTATGGGGCGGACGGAGATCTGTGATACAAGTACTGGCTTGCACTCGGGCGGAGATTGTGACATGGTTTCGGAAATTCACTACTCTGGAAAGACATGCGAGATCAAAATCCACACAGAACTTACCTTCAGGAATCCAGCATGCCAGGCTGCCGTAGTTTCCTGGCTCGGAAGTCTTCTTGTTGACCTTGTGAGCTGGTCTGTCCGAATCACACGGAGCGATGATCAACTGTCGACGCACCGCTGTTTCAGGAACACATGCTAGTTCCCTATGCCAAGCCAGTCTCGAAACTTCTGCTGTGGAGGCACTACCAGCTCAATGAAGCCAGCGAAGGCCAAAATCCTCTCACGGTGCTTGCTGAGCTGCGCATGATTTCACACAGAAGGCTCTCTTTCTAACGATGTCTCGTGGCTGGGTTTGCCTGCCGGTTCTGATTTGACAAATGACCTCTGTGGCTTCTACTTCTAATCAATTACACGCAGCTCCACTCCTTGCAGTCGCAGTGAGGAGAGAGTGAGAAACTCGCATGTGTTCCCGAGGTGCCGCTGCCAAGTAAACAACAAGAAAACCGACAAGACTTGCAGGAGCCTGCTGCCTGATCTTCAGAGCTGATGCCGCTGACTACTCTGCGGTGTCTGTTCAGTAGCTTTAGTCCGATCTTCGGTCAGAGGTTTCCGACCAATTTCGAATACCTTCAAGCTAACTTGACTGAGCTGTTCTAGAAGCCGCTTCTGTGAGTCGAGCCACTGCGCCCAACCTTCCTTCGGGACCACGGAGAGCCTTAGATTCCGGCGAAGCCGCTTAGGCTTTGTATGGCAGTCAAAGTCGAAAATGTCGAGAGGTGATTGGGGTTTCCAAGCTGGAGTTTGGGGGCCGTCCAGGCTTTCGAGCTCAAGCGGATGTCTATTGAATGAGTTGACTTCAACCCTGGTTTTTCGGTGTTCATGGCTGCGGGATTTGAAGTTTGGCGCTTGGAGCTTGCTGGTTCCGGGTGCAACTTATCTTTGCAAGCTCTGACATCTGTCGGGCGAATCCAGGCTTGTCCACAGTTAATGGTTGCAACCCAGTACTGAAATCTTGTAACTTGTGAACTCTTGCTTTTCGTGACATTATAAGTGTCCGAACAACCTGAAGCCGACGCCCACCTCGACCCTAACCGCTTTTCGAGCTCAGATACAAGTCTATTCAGGATTTTGACAAAGAGAATGCTCCCAATCCTTTAACTTTCTCGCTGCTACAGCTGCCGGTGAGCAAAGACTTAAGCTGTTTGTGGGCTTCGCGCGGTTTCTCATCACAAGGCTCCAGACAGGAATTCACTCAGGCTTGAGACATTGGGGTCGGGAATGACATAGGTTCCAGCTTCAATACAAATTCTGGGTTTAGCATAATATCGAAGGTCTGGTGTCCAGGGCTTCAGGCTAGGGACTTCGCTGATTGAAAACTGCAGCTTCTTTCCCTTCTTACTAAAGAGCTCTCAAAATCACGGAGAACTTCCGGTGGGAGCCAGCGCTACAGCACTGAGGCCCCAAACCCCTAAATCATGCAAACTGTTCTGCTAGCTCTGCCAGGCAACGCCTTCAGTCCATTCGGCACGTCCTCGGCTCAAGAAATTCGAAGATGCCGAGCGGGATAGTTCTTTGCAGGGGGGTTTGGGTCCTGAAGAGCCAACTTAACAGCTACTGTGATGTAGTCCTGAAAAGATCAAGTTCATCTCTTTCAGAACGAGATGAATGCTCTCAGAAGCCTGAGCGCTGCAAAGCACCGAATGTTAAGAAACAAGAAGCCCAACATCAATCAGGCAGCCGCCGCTCAGCTCACGATGGCAGCTAAACAAATCCGTTTTGCTGCTAACCGCTTCAAGGGCTTTCGGTCTCTTTTCCGAGCGAGCCACAGCGAACTTCAGCCCCTGCGACGGAGACAGCAAGCCGGGGAACTTGTAGTACTCCGGCACAATATAGCCTCGCGAGGTAGCGTTCACACAATATAGCATCGCTAGGTAGCCTTCAAATCGTGTCTTAAGAACGGAGGTTGGACGCTAGTTCTGGTCCCTGGTTCGACAATGCCTCTAACACTAGTGGCTGGATACCCTTGTAGTTTTTGAGCGCCGGACTGTAGAACCCCCAGACCAGAAGTCTAATGAGCGTATCGAGTTCCAAAGGCGCCGCCGTCTCTGCATAGCTTCCGCAGGGTTTGTCGGCTGAGGTCTCTTCCTTGAAGAGGTACGAAGAATCACTTTCAGTTGGCCCGCTGCTGGATTGCTCTGCGCCCCGCACTTCCCCCAAGCGTTGAAAAGCCATCTCAGTTCAAACCCCTAAATTACAGCCCCTTAGCCCCAAAAACCTGAACCCCAAAACCGTGCAGTTTACCCCAGAAGCCCCACAAAGCCAGCACCGATTCTGTGTCTCCGGACCGATGGTTGCGAACATGGCAACACCTCACAGTCGTACAGTCGTAAGGCTTTGGATTTAGGTTGCCGGGTTGGGAGATTCCTGGATAGCGACAAATATAGTACTCCTCGAAGACTAAGATTGGAGGGAGGCATTCCTCGAAGGGCACCGTGCAGATGGAAACCAGGGCTTGAACTTAGACGCCAGGTTCGTACAGAAATGCCGCGGATTTCAGACGGACAGGAAGACGTCAGCTTCCAGTAGCGGCTCAAACCCCTACTCACCCCGAAACCTCAAAACAGCACTTTGGCATATTCCACAAAGACCTGAACCTCACAACATCCTTCTACAACGCTCCTCCACCCAAAATCATGAACACATGTGCGAGAAGTTGCAATCACTGCGCAGCATTCACTACGATTTGCGCCACGGCACGGCCATGCTTGATCTCTGTCTCGCGGCGCCTTTTGAACACTTCCTTAGAAAAGAAGGTCATGATTTGGGGCTAGGTTAGTTGTTGGATTACAGGCTGGCCACTCTGGCTGCGCTCAGAGAATACACACAGAGAATAAGGATGCACAATTCATCTTCCCCGGCCCGCACATGAAAGCACAAGGAAAGTGCATGATGCCAAGCATTCTTAACAACAGAATCTAGTCGAAACGGTGGCTACATACAGATGGGCCTGAAAAGCCAGAAGGCATGAACCTCCTGCCAGAAATTCCTACTGCGATGCCTGCAGCAAGAAGAAGCCTGAGCCCCCGGACCCCTTTCAGATCGGAAACATCACGAAGCCATATGCCGAAGAACGAATCCCACGCAAAAAGAACAACAAGTTGAAATCCAAACAATCCATCTAAGTCCAGCGGAGCGTCTACGTCCTGGTCCTTGCTAAGGCCAAGGGGGTCCCAGAATCCCAGCGGAGCTTGATCTCCGTTCAACTCGGCTCAAGCGCTTTCTTTGGAAAGCTGAGTTGCAAAGTGTAAGGCTCGGGGATACTGCTTCTTTGGGCAGTTGGGTTTAACTCGCCAGAGTACGGAGCAGCACGCTCTTTGAAGAAGATTTGTCAGCATAGATCCCAAACAGTGAAAGAGCGCCAAGCATTCCAAGCGCTGCAGTTGCAAGAAACACTCCAGAAGCACCCTAAGGCATCGCAAACCACGCCATGAGTCCAACTGCGCACTACATTGCTGCGGTAGTACGGTAGCGCGATTGAAGGCGGCCGCAGACGACGGTTACCACAAAACGCGGTGATCGTAGACACGAGTGGCGGCCACCATCTGCACGGCAATGGAATGGAGCATGATTTCAGACGGCAGTACTGCTGCAGGAAGACAGCGCGCATCCCAAAATACACACGGCACTGTGGCCGGTGCGCGATCTCAGTCGTGCGATATAATATAACAAAGAAGTGCACGGAGCGCAATTCATCAAGTTCGCGAGCGCCAACGTATTGGGATGTACGAATGCGGCGGGTCTCCGTGGAGGATGCGGCGGCAAAGGCACGGTGGACAGACTGCCGTTTTGGTGGAAAATTTTCACTGCGACACAACCGGAGCCGCAGAATGCCTCGCAGTCATATGACCAGATCCTCGTTACTGAGTCTTTACTGACTGGACGTAAGAACCCTATGATGTTGCCTAAGACTTTGGCAACCAGAACAGATGGCCGAAAGTAAGCAGGCTATGCCAAACTACATCCATGGACCAGTGTCAGGTGCCTTCCCACATGCAGCGTGCTGGAATGGGCCTGCATTGATTCCTCGGACTCCTCAAACTACCGCTGCTTTTGCAATATCAAGAAAAACCACTTCTGTTAGAGTTTGTCAATTCCAAGCTCCAAGCTCGACCTCAATCTCAAATGCATAAGGGCTTCGTAAAGCCAACAGCTCAACTGCCGAACACACCCAATATCACTCAAAGCCACCTGAACAGCAACACGCCCAACAGAAAACAACCGGGTGAAAGAAGAAGTTCGTTCCACCACTACGACAGGCCCGCGCAGGCCATGCATGGCTTCTGATTAAGCATGTCACTCAGAGTGAATGACTGTGGGCTTCCGCTAGCAAAGAAACATGTTCCACAACCTACCCTGACCAGCTCCGGCGAGTGGCACCCTCGAAGCCATTCTTTGGCTTCTCCCATTCGGGAAGGGTGTTGTAGCCCGGGCTCCTTGTCTCAGGGATTCCCACGAGATCTTAAGCTCTTGATGGCGGGTGGTAAGACTCGAAGAAGGTATCCGAATTCGTGATTCAGGAGCCCTGCGCTGCCAAACACATACAAGGCTGATCTTCGGGGACAAGCGCCCGTCATGTCAGACAAAAGGCTTGAACTCATCCCAGAACCACATCAACTCCGAAGCCTGAAGCCCTGCATCCGCCACTCAGACACGCAAACACACACACACACACACACACACAGAGAGCGGCCGCGTGCTAAGGACTCGCTGCAGAAGCCACAAGAAACAATGTGCGTAAGGCTTACCCCCGATCCCGGAAGCTGCAGCCCAGCAGCATCAGGCCACTGCCCATAGCAACGCGTGCCTCGCCAGGCTGATTAGATCTACTCTGCTCGCACTACCGGAAAGCCGTACCAACCCTCATCTCGGAGGCTTGAACTATTCTTGGTGCGGCCGGTGTTTGATGTACTGCATCATGCAAGGCGTAGGGCATCCGTTGAACGAACCAGAATAAGACTCTACCAGGCCTGTCTCCTAGAGGTGGAGAGCCTCAGATGCAGCAAGAGACTGTCACACGGACTTTTCTGGCATTTTGCTGCAAGCTTTGATTTGGCAATCTGATGATCTCCCTGACTTGGCTGCTTCCAAGCCGCTGTGCCAGAACCGTTGCCTTAGATGTGCTGCGAGATCGATACCCCTAGTTCAGAACCTCAAACCCCTACTAAACATCCCAGTAAATGCACTTCGTGTTCACTGGCTGCAGATTCCTGAGTTGTCTCAGCACGAGTGCACATGGAATCACATGGATTTTCAAGCGGACGTACTCCAGGCCTGTCAGACGTCAGACGGCCACTACCATCAACCGAGCTTGCAGCCTGAATCCCAAAACCACGTAGGTAGCAACATACACTTCTCACCACGTAGAGGCATACGGCCTCGCACCCTCGACGGCACACAAACATCCTGAAATCTGCAAGTCTGGCAAGTACCAGCAAGCCCGTGACCAGAAAACGAGACAATTATTGAGAAGCAATGCTAGCCCTCCCTAAAACACACGGAAACTCTTACAGGTGTTGGCGGGGACCGCATGTGGTGTTTAATTTGCTTGGGCGGAGGGCCCCGGTGGCGAGCGCTGCAGTTCCCACAATCGGGGCAATGCTGCTAGTGGCCTCCAGGCACAAGGTTGTGCACGAGGTTATGTTCTGGCATGGGTGCTGATGTGGGTTTTGCTTCCGGTTATTCTACGGCCGGGTGTACCCAAGGCTTAAGGAACAGGGCTCAACGAAACCCAATCCAAACTTAGATACGCTTTACACGGTACTTAAACGATTTTTGCTGAAGATCTATCCTATCCTTCCTTGATTAACCGTTTGGTATTCGACTGGCGTGCGCTTCTGTCATTACAAGTCTGTCGTTAGCTGAAAATATCACATTTTGCTAAGATGTGCTTAGCATCTGTACTTACATATAATCTGTTTAGGTTATGTTTCACCGGCACAGACGTGAAACTAAGCCTTCTATACATGTTCGTTTGCGGTAGTTTTGAGATGTAAAACTACGTCCCATTCTAACGAAGAGGAGAAGCTTTACCTTCGCCTTCAATGAGTGCTTGGCTAATATGTGCTTTTAACGCAAACTTAATCAGGTGTTGATTAGTATGTACTCCCGATCCAGTGTTTGTGTTCCAATTCCAATGTTTCGTTGTGACTTTCTGATTCATCTCTTATGAATGTTCGACTAACAGTTAACATGCAAACTGTACTCGCGCACGTATTAGTGAGCTATGTATCTGTTCGCATGTTCGCATTGCTTTTTACCTCCCTCTGATCGAAACAAGCGATAATGACCGTCGAACAGAAATCAGCACTTAGCTGCTGAATGACTATCATTCTTTTTCTATTGCTGTATGAAATAGCTATTCCAGTGTTAGCCTATTGTCAGATGCTCAGGAAAATGATCTACCGTGTTAATTACTCGAGAAGTATTTAGATACGATGCATATTCCTATGAAGTCTCAACAACTAAGTCTAATGCTAACTTGGTCAGATGCAGTGTAACTACTTGTCGAACTATTTGGATAGTCTGTACTTGTGCATACATACATGCGTAACATGCATACTCCACTTGTGAGAATTTGTATTTCTTCTCGAATTAAGCTTCATGTGTATGCGTAAGCCTCTACCAACCCGTCCTGGCCAGAAGAATACACTGCAGGTTGCACGGTTGGTGCATGGGGGGGGGGTCAAAATCTGTATCTATATCTTATATCTACACATTCGAAAGATTCGATAAATACTGCGATGCATAAAATGTGCCGCCATCGGCCCTTGAAAAGTAAAGAGCAAGAAACTTGATCTGCAAATCCCCACACTTGCACATGGGTTTCAGCGTCCTCTTGCATCAACCTCCACCCGTGAACTGGAATGGACGAGGGGCCCGGACTCCGCTGGTAGCCGCAGATGCCCCCTGAAAGGAGATGAAAAAAAAAAGCAAGGCTCCACTTGGCGAGAACTAGGTTTGGGCTTGGAACTCGCTACTGAAGCTTTTGGGTTCCGGAGTTTGGGCACTCATTGAACAGACCTGCTGAAACCTAGCCTCTTAACCTACAATCATAACAAGCTCCTCTTTTCTCCCCACCTTCATCACATCCATCGGTAAAAATGCTTTGACTGCATCTCCTTTACCATGATTTGAAAGCCCCTGGCTCTGAGTCCCACGACCCGGAGTACCAGCCTGGACCCGGCTTTGGCGCGCAGCGCCAGCGGAGCCTTTTGCAGCTGCGGGCTGCATAAAGTTAGGGGTTTAAAAGTTTTAGGTTCCCCAAACCCAAACCTTGTAGGAATCGCAACTTCCTCGCGAGTGATCCGGGCTTTGATTTCTTACGAAAGCCGAGCGAGGGTGCGTCAGTGCTGGACGGTGCATTCCCACACACCCCGAAGCGTCGAAGGTTACTAAGCTTGACTCTTATGTTTTCATCAAGTCTGACCTTTGGACTTGGCGCCCTTTACTCCATAACGCGTAACTTCGAACCATAGCGACCTAAATGTGGCGGCTGTGCCTGTATTTGTGCAGCATCATGCAGCCGATCGCGTTCAATTAAAAACATTGGGGTGCATGCCCCCCGCCACTGCACATGCGGCTCGGCACCCTCCTTCACTACAAACCTTGCTGCCGGACCCAGGGCCGGAGAGAGTGCTGTTAGGACTAGTTCAGGGATGCGTGAAGGATCTTCAAACCTCAATCCGACGCACGGCAATAGCCAGCTTCTTCTGGGCTCCGAACTGGGTGCGGAAGCCACGAAGGCCATGGAGGCTGCGCCTCCCGATTTCGACATCCCGGAAACACTAAAAATTCCGGGCTCACCGTGTAGGCCCTAGTCCGGGCTCACTGTGTAGGCCCTAATCGGGACAGTCGCTTTCGTTACGGCAACAAGTTTTGTTTGATTTATGATCTGGGCTTCCAACTCGGCCCGAAACAACACAACTTTCATCCGGAGGGACGGAACTGCAAAGTTGAAGATTCAGCTACCAGCGGACGACATGTGGCTGGAACCTGCGGCACTTGCGGCAACTGCCAAAGCGGCCTCAGATCACAAGATCCAAAACTGTCGGGGTTGAGAAAATGGAAAAAAAGCTTATCTGTTTTTGGGGGTTCAGGTCTCGGACCTCAGTGGCTTGGGTCGGTCTCCGAAGTATCCGTCTTCCCCTGTGGTGTTTCCCCTTTCCGGCTCAGATTTGAGCCAACATACCGAAGCCACCTGCCTCCGTTCTTTTCGTCTCTCCCCCTTCACTCTCTGTCTTTCTCTCGATCTCTCGAGCATAGAGGTCCCCTTCACTCTCTCTCTGTCTCTCTGTCTCTCTGTCTCTCTCTCTCTCTGGCTCTCTCTTTCTGTCTTTTCCCTTGTTTGTGAGAATGCCACCAAAAGCGGCCCCAAGAACTTGCACCCTCCCCTCCCCCTCCTCCCACCATTGCACCATGTCTGAAGCCGGCCGGCGGCGTGAAAAGTCGGAACAACTTTCACAGCTGCCTAGCTCCCTGAACCTTGCACCCTAAACGCTGCAGCACGTCAGGCCTATTTCATCCGAAACGTAAGCCTTCAACCGCAGACCGGACCTTGCAAAGCCAACTGTTCTTGTTTCAAGCATTCGAGGGTTCGAATTCTTCTGACCAGCACAGAAGCGACAATTACTTTGACGGCCTGCTCACGAAGTCCCTTGTGCGTGCCAGACACTTGTTCCGAGCTCTTGTGGTTCTCTGTCGACAGCCGGTGATTTCGAGCATTGCGTACGCACTGTAGCGATCTTAAGTGACCGTTGCAAGACCGGGCCCATTCCACCTCACATCCGGGAGACCCTCGTGCTTGGTGCCCGATGCTCGCGACCATGCATGACCATGCATCCGTGGCGTACCAGACTTTAACGTCCCCTCAGATGCAGTGGCCACGAAACAGTAAACCTAAGACCCATAAGGCTTCATGCTTTTGAGGCGTGAAATCATTGATTCGAAAATTTTCCTGCAGCCAAAAATGCAGGATTTTGCGCTGTCATGTCTGAAACATCCCCAGGTTTTTCCTAGATGTATGCACTCGAACTTGCTTTTCCATCGGCCGTAATTACGTTTCAATCTCAGCTTTGCAGTGCTCCCAACTAGAGCGCTGTCCTCACTAACTCACGTACACGTACCCGTTACTGCGCACTTCAGATGCATTAGGGAACACGTGATATGAATGATCGATCCCGAGTAAGTTTCGGAGAGCCCACAACATGAACCTGCAATGCCAAACACAGGCCTTTGGGAAGCGAGACATCATGTTTAGGTTTCCGATAGCCTCTCCGGGAAGTCTGCACGGCCGAACGTAAACAAAACTGAGAGAGAGCCCTGACGGACACTCCAATTTGCAAGCGCGGATGGAAAGCACATCCGGAAACATGGCCACAATACTGCGAGGTACAGGTTCTGCAGCGGTTGTGCTACCCGGAAACATTGCGGCAGGAATCCCAGCCATTGTTCCAATCATCGTCGTTGTCCGTTGCCCGAGTTCCTGCGCCGGCGAGGCTTCTCCTTACTATTTTGGCGCAAGAAAGGAAAAGAAATGCGTGTGGCGTGTAATCTTGTGAACAAAGTTGAGGCCAGAGCGAGCGCAGGATGAAGATCCTACGCATAAGCCAATTTCGTATGACTTCCCGTATCTTTTCTCGGACCCCAAATAAAAGGGAGCCCACACGAGCGCCTCAATGTCCTGCTTGCAACTGTGGATTAAGAGTAGAGTGTGAGCCTGTGTCACGATTGTGGAAGCCACAAGTTCTGCAGGGCAGAGTTCAGGGGCCGGTGAATTTTGCAGCGCCAGGAAGGCGCACAAGCAGAAGCCCAACTTGAAGGGTCTCTGCAGAGCGCGCCGTGCACTTCGGCAACCAAGGATGCATCGCAATCCAACTGGACTTGGCTTGATCGAACTCCACAGCGCCGCCTTTGCAAAGGCACGTTGTCGAGACCGCGGCTTTAACGTTAAAAGCCTAGAGTTTGGAGCACAACTTGCGAGCCCACAGACGTTACTGCCTGCCAAGCGGCCGCAGCTCAAGCTCCCATCCACCTTCGCTGCGATAACCATCATCATCTGCGATGTGTTCGCTGTGCTAGAGCCGTACTCAACCTATGTCTGACGTGCGTGCGCAAGCTTGATCGGACAAGCTTTGACAGACGGATCCAATGTACCAACATCGCGTGATGTCTTCATGCCTTCAAAGCTACTTCCATTCAGTCAGCAATCTCTGCGGCCCAAGTGATGCGCAGCTTCGGGGCGAGAGGAAACCATGGCTTTCTGTGGGTCCGCAAGCAATAAACCAAAGGGCCAACTCAAAGTCGTCCGGGCCAGTGCCAGCTCGAGCCGCGGAGCCTGCCAGCACCTGGAGGGAAGGCATTCCTGGTGGTCTCTGTGGTTTCCTTGATTCTCTGAGAAGTCTCCTGCCGGTCTCCTCGTGGTGTCCTGGTGATGTCCTGGTGATCTCCTGATCGTCTCCTCGTGGTCTCCTGATGCCGTCCTGGTAGTCTCTTAGTTGTCTCCTGGTGGTCTCGTGGTGGTCTCCTGGTGACTTCCTTCCTGTCTCCTCGCGGTCTCCAGGTGCTGTCCAGGTCTCCGGCGGTCATGACGCCTTTTAAACACCTGAAGGTGGCCGCACCGTGTCACCACCGGCTCAGCGGATGTTTCAGAGCAAGTATTGCACTTGAGCCAAAACTCAGTCTCTCTCTTCGCTTCGCAGGGGAAAAACTCCGAAGAGCCCGCGCCAAGGCGCCCCCTCCCCCATTAAAAAGGTGGAAGAAAGGTTTTCGGGCTCGGTGGCCGGGGTCATTGCCCGCGGTAGTTGTAACTTGTGGCGTTTGCTCAGCAAGGACCCCCGGAACCTTGAACTTTAACGCGCATCCCGGCCTCATCTCCGCGCCCACTACGGCTAAGTCCTTACCCTCGCCCACCGTATCCCATTATAAACCGGGTAGGCGTTATTAACCAGGTTCTTAAGACGAAAACCAGGTTTTGGGACTTGGTGATTTTGGGGGGTTCATTCAAGCATGAAGTTCGGGATATTTGGAGGGGTTTGGGTGGTTGTTGAGAAGAAGAAATGCAAGCTGTGCCTGATGTCCATCTCGACTTTTTCGGCTCCGCGGTCTTCGTCTTCTTGATCGGCCGCGCGCTGCAGCCTTACGATTTTGCTGTGCATCCACACATGTCGTTTGGCCTTTGATGAAGCTATTCTACTCGTAGTAAACATCTATTGGTCAATAAGATCCTCGTCACTCGATCTGCATTACATGACATCAATCAGCCTTTCGATTTGCATGGTATGACGTAGCCTGCTTGCACAAATTTCGCATGCGTAGCTTCCAGCGTACGCTCGATTGTACGCTGTATTACACGCTGGGGGGCTACTCTGCGGCTCACCCTCGACGGGCGGCCTATATAGTCTTCTTCAGTTTGGCAGCTGAAGACTGCCACGTTGAGGATCCAATCGGCTTTCTGCGCTTGATCCCACTCCAAGTAAAAAAGGTGGTGCAACCGGTGGCAGTTGGGTGTGAAGTAAAACAAAGCTCGGCCTTGATCGTATGCAGAGCGTGCAGCTTGACCCATCAGAGCAAGAAATCGGAAGCCATGTGAAGATAATTCGACAGCATCGGTGTGCCAAATCCAAACAGCCGCTTTGTAGCTCTTGGAAATGAAAGCATAAATCTCCCGGGCGGCCAAGCAAGCAATCTGCAGCAAAGACCCTTCATCGATGAAGCCCGCATGGCGAGCGCATGCACTGATGAACCAGCGACAAACCACGGTTGAGGTTGAGCCTTTGCTCCACGAAGCACAAGGGTAATCAGCCGTAGATGCCCAGCCGGCGGTGTCACGCGTCATCTTCCTAATCAAAGGGTTCTGCTTGTTGGCTTTACACCAACTGAAGAAGTCATCAGACATTGCTTCGAATTTGGCGGGGACACTCCGTCCTGGGAAAATCTCGTGTAGCAGTACCAAACATGATCCCAGGAACTGCTTGGCAAAGCCTAAATGCCACCCGTGGAAAAAGTCTTGTCCCAGGAGGGCCGTTGGGTCTGTGGAATCCCCGGGGAGCCTCGTTAACGGAGGTGAGTTCATGAACGGGTTCTGGGTGTTAACGGTGCGCCTCCACTTTGGCTCCCTTCCAGAGAAATCCTCAAATGGAAAACCTGGTTGGTCCGCACGGCAAACGTGACAGATCCCCTTAGGAACCCCACGTGACGTTGCTTGCTTCGAACAGTTGGCGAAAGAACGAGACAAATTGAATGCCTTAGCCAGCCATGGCCAGTCTCCAATAACATGAATCACCGCGAACGTGTAGGTGTCGCCACTCGGAGATTTTATCCCGTCTCTGTAGGCCTTCACCATATCATCCGTAAATACACCCAGGTATTGTTGGAAAAACTCATCTCCGCCAGCGCCGTCGTAATAAGCCTTTGGTAAGCATCCCAGGATCCATCTGCTTGTCAAAGAGTGGCCTGTCATATTCAGAAGTTGCTTGCAATAGTCCTCCGCTCCGTGCACAGTGCCGGCCTCGCAACCGTATCCAAGGATGCTGTGACACGATACTATTAGTATCCCCGTCTTCTTTTTGGTTCGGCCCTCGTCCCCGTGGACGATCAGGGCAATCGTCTTGGCAAGATTTATCTCGCCAGCTTGTGCCCGCCTAAAGACGTCGTGACTGGGATAGATTTTTCTGTACCTAGACCAGAAGCAGGTCCAAATGGCATCACACCTCGCAATGTCGGGCTCGCTGAGGCCGCACAGAGTGTGGAGCAAGTTTCTCGAAACCAGGTAAAGCAGCCAGCTGCTCAAAAGGACGACTGGCAGCACGCATCCGTGAATGCAACATTCAGAAATTTCAATTGGCACTGTCAGCTGGCACCTTCGTGCCATTCGGTGTGCATCACGCTCACTATTCTTCACCCCGCACGCAGCCATCGTCTTGACACTTGTGTTAGCAGCCTGCGGCACCTCTTGCATCACGGCCTGCGCCGTGCGAATCGCGCCCAGGACGGGAGCCTCGGCGTGCAAAACAAACCCTATCTATT